AAATCACCAATTTTGAAGAAAGATCATGTAGTTTAAGTAAAGAAAAAAACCATTTTTTTTAGCTAAATGGGTCAGCCCAGCTTGGTGAGCTCCAGGCGCCCGTTTGCAAAATGCATAGTAACGGACGTCTGAGCTTCAAATAGAATATGCCGTCCACACAGGCCTGACGTGGCGTGCCAGGCAGGCACACATGCCTGCCTCTAGACTGCTTAGTCACGGCCCTAGCTAGGCCATGAAGGCTCAACCCATTAAGCCACGTGTTGTGATGGCCTGTGACGGGCCAGGCACACGGGCTATCGGGTCGGCATGCCAAAACTGGCCCATTTGGCCAAGATCGATTGGAAGCGGTGGATATTCTCCCTCATAGATTATCTTTACTAGAAGAACGCCCGTGCGTTGCAACGGGGCCACATTAACTTTAAGAGTTCAATATCAGTTATGTTAATATTACATTTAATATTCTTATACATATCAAATGACATTGGTTATGGTATTTGAAGATTGATTACCATCCGTTAGTTGGGTTATCAAAGAAAAAATTAATTACCATATGTAGAAAAAGGAACTACATTGCACATGCTTACACCTCATCTACTCGTGAGAATATATAGAATTGAAGCAAACAAAATCGTATACAGAACACACCATCACTGTTTGATACTCCTGCATGCATTAGTGAAATAAGCACACAAGTTATAAAACCAACTTAATACAAAACATAAGATGAAAAATTCTTAATATAGAACATACGAAAAGGTCCCCACGCCAACACTTTGTGCCCTAAAAACAACCACAAGCGGTCCTGCATCATGATTTATTCGGTACATGTACAATCGTGCATCTGCTCCAGCTCATCAGAAACACAGACAATCATTATGCATATTTTTCGTAAGGTAGCTCAATATGGAACAACCTTGATTGAAACATCATTTCACTATAAATTTAAAGAAAATATAAGATTGGGTCATACACTAAAATACGTGCACATGAACTACCAAAGGCCATGCTAAAATAATATTAGATCTAATAATTTTGGGATATCCTCACAGGAAGTGATATCAAATAGAAACTTCATCATTTAAATACTCATCGACAATTTTGAGAAATCCTTACAAGAAGAAAGAGAAGATAGAAACTTGATCAATCTAAATACTCCTATAATGACCTCAACACCCTTAAAGTATATATGGACACCTGTGCCACACCGTGTCGATCGCGCCCGCCACTGCCGTTGCGCTCGCCGCAGCCCCCGCACCACTGTGATCCGCGCGATGCACACCCTGGCCACGCGCCACACTCTCGCTAGCTGTGCTCGCCCCGTCTGCTGCCGCCTATCCCTTCGCTCTCCCCGCAGTCATGCCCCTGCCTCGCGCCCCCTCCTGTCACAGCCATCTTCTGTCGGCTGCCCCCTCAGCCACGCCGGCCGCTTGCCTCGCCTGCTGCGTGCTGCTTCCTGCTTCCTGCTGCTATGCGCTGCTCTACCGCTGATACGCTGTTGCGTCATGTCCTCGACACTGCCGTGGACAAACATGGCGGAGGGATTGTCAATGGAGTACGAGGAGGAGGTGGCGGAGAAGGTGTGGAGAGGCAGAAGGTCTGGGTGGCGTCAGCTGGTTGTGGTGGAGGTGTTTATGCGAGAAGGAGCTGGAGCGAAAGGAGATGTCACAATTGGAAAGAATCGCAAAAAAAATCATAACCTGGAGATCTTATTTCAAAAAAATGATAATATCGATGGAGGGGTGATTTCCTTCTATAGGTGGAAAACATAGGAAATATTGGTTGTTATCAAGAAAGGTAAAAATTTAGGAAAGTTAGGTTTTTGAACTGATTTTTCTATGCAAATGAGGTTTTATTGTTTGGTAACGTGATATTAGTACCTACCCGTTTGTGACGTGTCTGGTTAAAAAAGTTTGCAATGCTAAGAAACTATTTATTGGGAGGAAAGTTTGTGACGTGTCTGTTATTTGTTTCCTAAAATAAATTTCACTAATGAGAGAAATCGATTAATTTAGATAAGTTAAGAAAGTTAGATTAAAATATATTATTTGTTTTCTAAAAATCTGTTATTTGTTTTTTAAGACAAATTAAACCAATAAAAAGAATCGATTGATTTGCATAATTTAAGAAAGTTAGATCCGTGATTTGTTATACATTAAAAAAGTTTTGGTTGTAATAAAGAGTGAAGAGAAAAATAAATCGATGGACTAGGATGGGAGGGGAGATGAAAAAAAACCAACAAAAATAAACTGAGACACAATTTCGCAATAGAGTGAGCGGAAGGTAGTCGCAATTTCGCACAGGAGGCTTCTCACCTGTGAGAGCGATGGGGATTCGAACCCACGACCTCCTACAAATGCGGCAATGCGCTAGCCACTACGACACAAAGCCTATTGTGAAAGATTTGCAGGACAAATTCAAAGAGACTACCGATAGCAGCAAAAAGTAAACCATATCGCGAAATTCCAGAAAACTAGTCGACTAGGGATCAAACACAAGACCTCACTCACATAACCACGTCCATAACAAATGTACTACCTAAGGTTATGTGTCTAAAAGGGGCAGCCAGGTACATACGATCTATTATAGGCGGCAGATTAAAACTTTTTAAGAAGATTCAAACGTAATTTTTAAAAAGGAAAAACTTTTTGGAACACAAACATTATTTGGGAAGAATAAAAAGGAAAATAAAATTGAGTTTGAGAACATTTTTCGAAATTATGAAATAGTTCTTGTAAATGCAAACATTTTTTGACAAATAATAACAAAATTGAAAAAGTGAACATCTTTCAAAATTACAAATTATTTTTTTACAAAACTAGAGCATGTTTTGAATTTGCGAATTAATTTTAAAATCATGAATATTTTTCGAATTTGTAAATAAATTTTGAAAACTGTAGCATTTTTTGAATATGTGACAAACATTTTTTGAAATGCGTGGACATTTTGTAATTTGTGAACAAAAACTAAACATGCAAACATTTTTAAAATTTGTAAACAAGTTTTGAAACATGAACATTTTTTGAATATATGAATAAATTTTGAAGAGTATTTTTTGAATTTGTGAACAAAATTTGTAATTAGGAATATTTTGTGAAATTCACAAACATTTTCCAATATGTGAACATTTTTTGAATTTGTGAACAAATTTTGGAAATGGGTACTTTTTTAAAATAATACTGTGTTTGAACATAATTTAAAGGGTGAATTTCCGAACTTTTTTGTAAACATGAACATTTGTCGAATTTGTGAACAAAATTTTAAAATCACGAACATATTCTGAATTTTTAGAACAAATTTCGAAATGGAGAATAATTCTGAAAATCCCAAACAAATTTCAAACCCGAACATTTTTTGAGTACGCGAACATAAAATTGAAAATAATAAGATTTTTTAATATGTGAACAAGTTTTCAAAACAGGAATACTTTGTCAAATCCGGTCATAATTTGATAATTTCTCATAAATTTGAACAAGAAAGTTCCAAAAATATTGAAAACAAAAACATTTTTTGAAAACATAAGCATTTTAAAAAATATTGAACGTTTTTTAAAAGTATAAACTTTTTTTAAGTTTTCGGACAATTTTCAGAACATGAAACTCTTTAAAGAAAGAAAAATAAACTTGAAAATATGAAATAAAAAAAAGAAAAGAAAAAAGAGAGAAGAAAAATAGACAGAAAAATGAAAAACCCAAAACCAAAAAACCTAAAACCTAAAGGAGAACAGGAAAGCTGGTTCAGGGAAACCAGAAAAAACCGGCTGGAAAACTCTAGAAGGTTCCCAAAACCGGAAAACGATACAACAACTGAAAGGGCCCGGCTCAGGTGATCGCTCGATAGCCGGTCTCTGTGTGAATGGTCGACATTTCGACGCAAAGTGCGTCCAATAGGAAATTTCTCTATGGAGCTTACTCCTATAATATTGTTTGGAAAAGGAGGTTTGAAACTAGGCCCCTACATCAAGAAAATGTAGACAACCATTCTTATTAATTATTATGCAGAGTACAGAACAAAAGCAACCACGGTTGAATCGTTATAAGACATAAAAATAACATGTATAGAACGCATAAACGTCATGATACCATCGTCAAGACAGTCTGGACAAAGGTCTCATCGTGATTGCCGAGACCAGCCAATGAAGAACAACATAACATCAAGTAGAAAACATCGACAACAAGTAACGACGCAATTCCTTTGCCACTAAGCCCGGCTAATAAAGGTCAGGACAAGAATTTTCACTCCGGGCATGAAACGGTGCTCAAATCGACATCTTGGTAACGGATCGTCCGACGGTTGCATCCGCTAGTACTCCATGTGGGTCAAAATGGCACTAGCAAATTGGGGATGTGTCCCTCCCTTAGAGCATGAGGTGGATAAGGCAAGGTGGGTATGGGTATGTATGAATGTATCCCTTATCCTTTTATAGGTGATTTTATTATTATTGAAGCATCGATAATTCCGGAAAAAAAATTATGAGACCAGGTCTTACGGGTTAGTAGGTGAGACCCATCCTGATGGATGACACGTGGCATTCATGCTTTGTGATTTGTGAATGCCACGTGTCATCCATCAGAATCGGTCTCATCCGAATTCTATGAGACCTGGTCTCATATAATTTTTTTCCAATAATTCCAGTACTCTAGTACCAACCGTCCACGCTGAGCAATAATGGAAAACCGGGACATTGTATCACGCCACAGTATGAACTGGGACGAGGACGCCTACCTGGACACAATCCCATTTCCCACCATGCAAGAAGCAACAGCCACGAAATGAACAACGTTCACACATTATTCAATGGAAGCGTGACACACGCCTCTCCGACTCACCATTGACTCAGATCTCGGGACCCAACCCGCCTCTACATCACAGCATCGCAAACGAATCATATCACATGTGGAGCGCATTATTTATACTGAATTGTAGCCAACAGATCTGCTCAACGACTACATATATCCAATCCCAATAGAGTAACAGACAGAGCTATCCCAATAGCAGAAACCATGGCCGGCGAAGGGGATCTGAAGCTGCTGGGGCTGCTGGTGAGCCCGTTCGTGACCCGCGTCCGCCTGGCGCTGCACATCAAGGGCCTGAGCTACGAGTACATCGAGACGGACGTGCTGGACAAGGGCGAGCTCCTCCTCCGCTACAACCCGGTCCACAAGAAGGTGCCCGTGCTCATCCACAACGGCGTGCCGCTCTGCGAGTCGCAGATCATCGTGCAGTACGTCGACGAGGTCTGGGCCGCCGCCGGCGCGCCCATCCTCCCCGCCGACGCCTACCAACGCGCCACCGCCCGCTTCTGGGCCGCCTACGTCGACGACAAGGTGCGTGTCTCTCTGCCAGTGTGTATTTTCCTGCTCTGAAATGCGGGCGCCGGAGTGACGGTGTCGGTCGACCTCTTCTTCTTGCTCTGCTCTGCAGCTGTTCCCGGCCTGGCTGGGCATCCTCCTGGCCCCGACCGAGGCGGCGAGGGCGGAGAAGGTGGGCGAGACGCTCGCGGCGCTCGCGCAGCTGGAGGTGGCCGCGGCGGAGTGCCTGGACGGCGGCAAGAGGCCCTTCTTCGCCGGCGACTCCATCGGGTTCCTCGACCTCGCCGTCGGGTGCAACATGTTCTGGATGGAGGCGCTGCGCAGGATGTTCGGCGTGACGTTCCTCGACGCGGGGAAGACCCCGCTGCTGGTGGCGTGGGCGGAGCGGTTCGCGGGCACCGAGGCGGCGACGGCGGTGGTGCCGGACCCGGACGCCGCGGTGGCGTTCGCCAGGAAGCTTCAGGCCAAATATGGTTCCGCGCCGCCTGCCAACTAGGCTGGCTTCAGTTCAGTTCAGTTCAGTTCACTCCAAGTAGTAGCAGTGCTCATCGTGGAACTGTGTCGCGAATCGGGTGTGTACTTTGGAACATGTAGCACTTGGCTACTCGTGTAATAAAGCCATGGAGAGAAATCATGGATTATCTTTTTTACGTGAAGAGGTGGAATTATCTCGCCCGGCTCCATTGATGCCAACCCGTCTCCCTATAGACAGCGATTGCACAAGAGCCGGTGCCCATCAAGAGATAAGAGAAGGATGTTCCACCGAGCTCTCTCAGAGCTCAGGCACTCTCGGCCGTTAGATCGGTTCGCTTGATGGAATGACCTCGTCCGTCGGATCAAAGAAAAGTTACTGCTGAAATGAATAGTTACCCCGTTTCGTGCCACCGCCTGTAAAATTGGATGGCCGCCGAGGGCATTTTCGTCATTTCACTCGCAGGGGTATAAATCACATTGGCTCATCTGGAGATGACCTAGCTGCCGCCTCCTCCCGCACTCGCGCCCCCTCCCCTCTTCCCAGCCGCGGCTCCCCACCCTCTTCCTCTCGCCCCCGCGCCGCCATCTCTGCCTCCTCCCCCCTCCGGCCGCCACCTCTGGCTCCTCCCCTCTCGCCGCTCGTCCTCCTCCTCCCGCTTCTCATCCCCGTCGCGCCTCCCTCCTCCTCCCCACGGAATCACAGGCGGCCCTCCCTTGTGCTAGCCGCTCTCGGTGATGAAGGGCGGCGGAGCCAGGAGCAGCAGCGGCGGGTTGATGTGGATGCGGCTGCGGCTCCCCTAGTGCTCCTCTCGTGCTCCCTCTTCTCATCGACGGCTTCTTCGGCTCCCTCCTCTTGGCCCAGGTAACATGGCCGGTGGCGGTGGCGGTGGATGTGGGGATCATGAACATCACCCTGTAGAGAGGATCGACGACGGCATGGGTGGTTGCTCCAGCTGTTGTTGTTGCTTGGGGCTCAGGGTCGATGTCGGCGTGCTGATCTTACACTAGTGCAGAACCGGGCAATAGCACCGGTTCGTAAGGCCCTTTAGTGCCGGTTCCATAACCGGCACTAAAGTGTGGGCACTAAAGCCCCCCCCCCCTTTAGTACCTGTTCAGCACGAACCGGTGCTAAAAGGCAACCACGTGGCACGAGCTAGCTCCGGGGGCCGGGAGCCCTTTAGTACCGGTTGGTAACACCAACCGGTACTAAAATGTTTGGGGGGTTTTTGGTTTTATGATTTCTTTTTCATTTAATTTTGTGTTTTCCATTTTAATTCTTTTTCGTTTGCTGGTATTTTACGATACTACACATTGTACATGTTATGCATATATATATATATATATATATATATATATAAAATTTCTAGTAGAACCAATCATATATATATCATCAATGTCTCACAAACCACCATATTAATTCACACATACACACATGTATAACTATATACAATTTCTCCTACATATGCATGTTGCCTTCGGAGCCAGTGGCATTAGTCTAATTGGTGCCTTCGGAGCACGATGACAATTGGAAGTGGTTCATGACCTGGTCGATGGGGGCGGTAGCGGGTAATAGTATTCTCCCTTCGGATTTATGACCTGGTCGAGCAAAAATCCCGCTATTTCCTCTTGAAGTGCTTCTACGCGCTCCGTTTCTAGGAGCTTGTCCCGCACCTCTGTGAATTGTTAAGAAGGAGATCAATATGCATGTGTATTAGTTGTGTGACTAGATATCGATAATGGTGTAAAAATTATGAATAGTGTTCTGACAAGTGTACCCATTCCTGTCTTTGAGATCTGCTCTTTTCGGACGCCATCATGCGAATGTTCTCGCAAACGCAGAATGCACACAGATCAGTCCCCTGCGCCTGCTTCAGGGCCTTAATTACGAGAATGGAATTTAATTTGATCAGATAATAATTAATCAAGCATGATAATTAAAGCATGATAATATCTTCAACTCATTTAAAACATGTGATGATCACCAGATGCCTGCTTATATAAATATATATACCTCGCCGGTCTTTGTTGTTTCAGGATCAACATGTTCTTCGTCATCGTCATAATCGTAGTTCATGACTTCATCAATTCGGTCGTCGCGATCGAATATCATATCACCCTCTCCGGTGTTGTTTAGAAATTCGGAGCCGTCATAATCTTCTTCATTCTGATCATCATCTGGCCCGCATATCATATCGAACATGGTTTGTTCTCCCTCTCCGTCGGTATTGTCCGCCATAGCTTTTATTTAACTATGCCAAAAGAAATATAAAACAATTTAGTATTCAAATTACATCGTCTCGAATAATAGATATAATCTCGAATACATCGTCTCGAATAATAGATATAATCTCGAATACATCGTCTCGAATAATATATAATATTGAATACTACATCACTGGCTAGGTAGCTAATTAAAGATCGAATACTACAGAAGAATCTAGGACACTCGCGGTTCCTCCAGCGCGGGCGGTGGACACCCAAAGAGAAGGAACCCTCACAAGATCATAGCTGAAGTGAGATCCCTGAAGAAACTGCCAGGTACTGGAGAACCTTCCGCCCTCTAACGCAACCATGTAGCGATGGACGTGCTCGTCCTCCTCCCCGACACGACGACGTACCACCTCCGGCGGGGCCGGCTCCCTCCGCACCGAAACTGGCCCACGCGAACGCCACCAAATGAGATCAGGGTCGACGACGGGACCCCGGGCCGGGTTCCTCATCAAGCGGCGCGCCCCTCCAGGCAGCACCTCCCAGTGCCAGCCCGGCGGAGCCCAGTCCCGGACATGGGTCAGTCGGACGTCCTCGCGGACGGGTCGATGGCGAGGATGCGGGCCGGGCATCGTCGAGAACAAATACTAGCTATATGCCCGCAAAAAGTAACATTTTTTTAATGATTGAATTTTGATAACTAAAATTTCTAACATTTCTATATAACACTAATTATGCTATCATTGCATATGTCAAAATTCTATATGCTATTTCATACTAATTAAGCATCTAACACTAAAAACAGAAAACACAACTTTTATACATCCATTAAAAAAACTGAAAAACAACATTATATAAAAAATTCCATACTAATTAAACACTAATTATATCCATCTAACATGCATTCATACATATATACTAGTGAAAAAATAATAATCTAAAAAATCTAAACTAATTAAACATACAAAATACATATATACTAATATATACATGCATTAATTCATACATATGTACGTGTGTGTGTGTGTGTGTGTGTTCATCATGCTTGTGTGTGTGTGTGTATGGGCTCGGGGAGGGGCGGCGCCCATGGTGGCCGCCGGGGGCAAGGGAGAGGGGTTAGAGGGGGAGAGCTCACAGCGGGGCGACGGCGACGGCGAGGCGACGGCCGGGGGCGGCGACGGGCCGGGGCGTGACGCGGGGGCGGCGACGCGGGGACGGCGCGACGGGGACGGGCCTGAGGCGGCGACGGAGACGAGGGCGGCGACGGGGACGGGGGCGACGACGGGGACGGGGGCGACGACGTCGGCGTCGATCGATCGGGGCGCGCGGGCGGTGCTTCAATGGGGAAACAGAGGAAGAAACAGAGGGAGAATGAAATTTCCGTAAGTGTTGTATATATAGAAGACACCTTTAGTACCGGTTGGAGCCACCAATCGGTACTAAAGGCCTGTTTTGGCCAGGCCAAATGGCGGGAACCGCACCCCCTTTCGTACCGGTTGGTGGCTCCAACCGGTACTAAAGGCCCTCCTTTAGTACCGGTTGGTGCCACGAACCGGTACTAAAGGGGGTGCACTGGCGCAAGTGCGGTGCGCAAGTTTAGTCCCACCTTGCTAGCCGAGGGGCGACCGCACTGGTTTATAAACCCCCGTGCGGTAGCTCTCTCGAGCTCCTCTCCAAAGTAGGCCTACTGGACCTACATGTTCTGTGCTGCCCTGTTGGCCTACTGGGCCTTTGCGGGCTTGCATCCTGTTCCAACAACAGGTTGGGTTTCTAGTCATATGCAGGCCGCTCTGGCCTAGTAGGCGGGCTTTATTTTTTATTTTTTTGCTTTATTTATTTTTGAGTTGTTTTTTTGTGTATTTAGAGTTTCTTTGTGAATATTTTTGCTTTAGGTACAAAAAATTACAAACTTTCTGTTAGTGCCCGTAGTTTTCAAATTTGAATAGTTTAAATTTTGAATTATTTGAAATTAGTGTGAATCACTAGTTTGTGAATAACTTAACTTTAAAAATCCCTTGTCAGATACACCATTCTCTGCCTTCCATTGCAGCAATTCCAGTGTGGTGCCCAGCTTTTTCTTGTCACCTACGCAATTCGGGTACAATAATTTTTTGTGATCCTCTAATATGCGCTGCAACTTCTTCTTCTCCAAATCACTTGCGCAGTTTCTCTTTGCATCGGCAATGGCCCGACCTAGATCATTAACGGGCTCATCTGATGCCTCTTCTTCAGCTTCTTCCCGCATTGCCGGCTCGGCTTCTTCCCGCATTACCGGCTCAGCTTCTTCCCCCATTGTTGTATCATCGTATTCAGGGAACCCATGGCCAGGATAGCTGTCGTCGTCCTCTTCTTCTTCATTGTCTTCCATCATAACCCCTCTTTCTCCGTGCTTGGTCCAAACATTATAGTGGGTCATGAAACCGGACTTAAACAGGTGGACGTGAATGGTTCTTGACGTAGAGTAATTGTGACCATTCTTACAGCCAGCACATGGACAAGGCATAAAACCATCCGCCCGCTTGTTTGCCTCAGCCGCAAGCAGAAAAGTATACACGCCCTCAACAATTTCACGGTCATTTAGCTCTCTAAATAATTAGGTAAATGACCGAAAACAACAAATGATGTCAGAACATGTTGGAAATTGATGACGTCGCTTTGAATGCTGCATACTGAACACAAAAGAAGTCCGGAGTTCAAATAAGTTATTAAAAATAAAAAAAGAGGTGCAATGCGGGTTAATTTGCTTCAAGCCATTCGAAATAGTGTAGACTGCACTGCACATAGCTCAGTGCAATCTATGCTATTCCGCAAGGC